GCCTCCCTGCGGTCGCTCCGCCGGCCGGGCTCCCGCGACGCGGGCGGGCTCCGTCTCCTAGGCAGCCAAGGAGAGCAGAGGTGAGGACACGCGCGAGCGCGGCGGCGCACCGAGCCCCTGCAGGTGGAGGGGGACGCTCGGCTGTCACCTAAGCGCCTTCCATGAGCTGAATTCAGTACTAACTCCAGCAATTGCTTTGGTCTAGGGACTGGGAAATGTGCCCGAGCGTGTGAATCACGCGGCAGACGCGGCCTGGGGCGGGTTTACGTAAAAACAGAACAGGGGCTGAGACACTGAAATTGGGAGAACCGGTGTCACTGTTCCTTCCCACGGAATTAGGTTTTTAAAAATATGCTTTAAGTTACCTTACGGTATAGTAAAGGTACGCTAGAAGTAAGGTAAGATTTTGTTCTAGGAATATATTTTTTTAATTTATCTTTATCGTTGAAAGTATTACAGATGTCCCATTTTTTCCCCCATTGATCAATGAGGAATCTAACATTAGTTACTCCCAAATATTAAAATGCCTTCTCAAAACAATTTTCAATAAATATCTTGTGAATTATTGCATATAGATACTCTCTCCTTTGAATTAAAACTGCTATATTTCTCAGACATATTTTTCAGGAACTGATAAAAATTCACGAACTGTATCTCTGATCTCTATCTTCGCTACTGGCCTTTATAACAAGCCTTAGTATTTGTTGTTATCAAATTTGTTAGTATTTCATAGGTAAAATAATATAATGATAATTTATAAACTTCCCTAAACTTCACGAAGCATTTAACGGTATTTAACCCATAAATTGTAATTCACAAAAATGGAGCGATTCATCTAGGATGCTATATTTCACTTAATCCTTCAAAGACCATGAGAAATTAACTGGCAGAATCCAAAATTATGTCTTTCTTTAGAATAAAATGTATTTGTGACATTATATATAATGCTTTAATTTTTACTGCTCTACATTCTGTCAATCCCTATTTCTGACCGATAATACAATATCAGTATATATTTATATTCACTTTATATTAATCTAATATCTATTCATCTTCTCTTTATTGAAATCTAGGCTGTTAGAATTATTTTCTCTTTCACTATATTACAGTCATCTTAATTGGAACCAGTTTATAGAAAAATCACATATAAAAATGTACTATTTCTACTTTAATCAAAAGCATTCTGTTCATATATAATTTTTTGTAATATGGACTAACCACCAATCTATTTCAAAATAGTCTAACTATGTATTCACACTTGACTGGGCATAATAGTTTGAGCAAGAAACTACCAATTAGTCTCTTTAAAATTCTATGTCTAAAAATTATACTGACTGATGGGGAAACTCCAAATAAAAAGATTCTTTCCCAATTAAAGTCACTTTCCCAATTTCCCAACGGCAATCTCATATCACATACATACTGTATAGTAATTCATCATGCTTTTACCATAGTTTCTATTTTAATTATTATAACCTTTACAATCCTATGTGGTTTCTGTTATTACGTGACCAGTATATATCAGTACTGACCATGTATACTATAAATAATCCAGTTTCTGAAAATATAATCTAGTAAACATCTAAAAACATTTATAAGGACAGTGAATGATTAGATGGAAACTTAAGTTTTAATATTCATATGTTTTTAAATCTTAAGATCTACATAATTTTTAGAAATCATAATGACACTAAAAGTAGAGTGAAGAATTAAAAATTAGTAATTTCTGTAAATTCAAATTTTATGTTATTACAGTTAAGTGCTATGTATATGAAAATCTCTACTCATTATAGAGATCATTTAAAAATTGTGATTTTATAAATGAAAACAAAAAGACATTTAAAGGCTCAATAATCTGAAAAAAGACCATCTTTTTTTAAAGTTTTATACTGCATGGATATTGCTAAATATACTAAAATGATACCTTACTAATTCAATTATGCATGCTAACCATACAGTTTAAACATAACTCTGCAATCAAATGGTGAAATTTGAAGCTGTTAAGACACATTAAATCAAGGATTTAAAAGACGTATACAATCTTGTAAAACATGAAATATATTGGTTCCATTCCTATAACTCTTACAAAAAGCTTTTAACATACCAAACCATTTATATTCATTAAAAAAACAAAATTGATTTTTATATTACATATCACCATATTTAACACATAGAGTTTTACCTTTTGCTCAACCAATGCACATCTGTCGAGTACGAAGCATCATGTTGACAAAAATACATTAATACAGTGCCAGGCAGTGCTTTCGTTTAATCCTAGCTCTCGAAAAATCATGGGAGCCATCCTTAATCAGATCTGAATGTCTCTGTTTGCTTACAATCATTTTATTTCAAAAGTCAATTACCAAAAAGTTACACATAAAACAACATTCATTCACGGATGGGAGTCATAAAATCCTCTAGGAATGGGCTTGCTATGGAAAAGGTTATTCTTTAATGCTGTTCTATGTGGCTGTATATAGCTCCAGGTCAAGTAAGAATGTACCCTGTAAGGAGGATTATGGTGCTTAGCTGATTAGTGCCTCACAATACTGAACACCAAATGCATCCTACATCCAAGGCATTTCTGGACACTATACTTAAAACGGACAGATTCAGAAATTTGTAAGTCATGTTCCCCTATATGAATTACAACATTTTTAAAATAACAAAATTCATTGTGTTTGTTGTTAAGTCTACTGCACTGCTTTCAGTATGAAATGTGTACTGATAATGAAAATGGTGGTGGTTTAACAGGTCTACTCTATAATTTCTTTTCAATTATTCAAGAGAATGCTTCCCCAAAGGATTTATGGGGCAGGAAATAGCAGTTCCTGTAGAAATTTTATCAAAAATGTGTCCCATAACCTGCGAAGTTGGTTAGACACTGAGTTTAAACCAAGCCTTGCTTACTTTATCACTTAACCTCTCCATGCCTCTATGCAGTCATTCAAAAAAATTAAAAATAGAAGATAGCACCACAGATGCCTTTCTACCAAAAGCCAATTATCTAGATGTTACTATTACACTTCTGAAAATTATATTTAAGTGATTCCAATAAGCTTAAATAAAACTAAGAAAAGGCCAGTGTTTGAAGAGTGGGGAGAGGTGCAAAAGTACTGCGCTGTTTTCTGGTGTCCCGAATTTCAAGTTTAAACGAGAGTCTAGGGACTACTCAACTATTTGTGCAGTTCTCATACAGAATTTTTTACTAGAATTAAGTATAGATCTTGGAGAGGCTGTGAGGAGTGTGGGGAAAAATAAAGGCCTTTCTCCCCTCTGAGATTCCTAATAACGACTTGTAGATTGTTCAAGCAGAAATGCAATAACAATTAAAGATAATTCATTCTCATAGGAATGTTAACCAATAATAAAGTTCAACCATTTACACTCCACAGTTCATAACAAACTGAAAAGAAAAAAAAAAATTCCACAGAATATTTTGATTCTTCCACGCTGGCAAGTCCAGAAGACTTCAGAAACAACATTACGCTGACGCTATGATAGCAAACCTTCTTCACTTCCCCTTCCATTTGCTTTTACCGCCTCCGTGAGCTCTCCTGGCAGTGTTCTCCCAGCTGCAACGCTCACTCTGCTGCCAATCACCTCCTCCACCATCAACCTCATCTCTAGCTCCTCTCACCTTTCCACCCAGACTCCCATTTGTACTATTTCTAACACCACGACTGCTTTCCCTTTACTCTCTACTGATCTTTCTAGGTCTCCAGTTTCCTCCTCCCCACCCTTTGAGGGCTACACTGTCCTTTGAGGACTATTTCCTCCATTTTTAACTTTTTATTTTATTTAATTCCCTGGGTAAGTACTACCCATGGATTCAAATTTATTAGGACCCAATTTGGGGTTTAAAAAAACTTCATGAGAATAATTATATCTTTAGTATCCATTGACTTGTTCAGAAGAACAAAATAATAAGATTCTATGGATCAGATGCCAGTATAAATTAATTTTTATGCTTCCCTATAGTAACCCATTGTGCCACCACCCCCCCTTACCACTATATTTCCCAAAACTGCTGTCCAAAAAAAAAAAGACAGACTAGGAGATATACTAGAAGATAATTTAAACACACCTTTTCCATTATTTCCTCCTCTTTCTGTTCATTCCAAAGAAACAACTTAAAGATTCTGGGTTAGGGCTAAAACCACGGTTATTCAAACAAGAGAAACCTCTTTGCATAAAAGGAAGCAAACACGTCTAGAGGCATATACCAAAGCAAAAAAGGAGGTTCTGCTTATCTGCAAGCCAAACATTCATTATACAGTTAATTTTAATCTTAAATGTTTATTTCCTTATTGGGAAAGAGTAATACAGTTTTTAAAACGTGGGACACAGTCAACTGGGTTAAGTGGAAGCAGCATAGTCCATCTCAGTTAATAGTACCTCTTTCCTCCCAGTTGCTCATCCGATCCACGAGGAAATTCTGTTGCATGTACCATCAGGTTATACTCAAGATCCAAACACATCTCACCACCTCCACTAGGTCAAGCCTGGTGAAGTCACCATCATTTTTTTGTGCGAATTACTGCAAACGCTTCCTAACTTGTCTTTCTGCTTCTACTCTACCATAACAGCTCGGTCTCAATACAGCAGCAAGACTGTAAGCCAGATTGTATCACTAATATGTTTGAAACCCTTCAGTAGCTCCCCATTTTACTTACAAGGCCCATGGGACCTGGCACCCATGACTCACTGGCCCTCTTCCTGCTGCTCGCCCTGGCTCCCTCAGGTCCAGCCATCTAGCTTCCCTGCAGGCTCACAGCTTAGGACCATTGCTCTGGCAGTTCCCTCTGCCTGGAATGCTGTTCCTGCAGATATCAGTAGAGACTTCCTTCAAGTCTTCACTCAAATCTCACTTTCTCAAGGAGGCCTACCCTGAATACCGAGTTTAGTATTTCAATCTCCGTCTCTACTTCCTGCACTCCCAATCCCGATTCCTAACCTGCTTTACTTTTTTATCTGTTTCATATCACTTATCACCTTTTAATCATGATATGTATTTGCTGTGTTTACTGTTTCCCGGTGCATTGGTTTTACAGGCA